TATTTATTTATGACGGTCACACAGATAGAGAGAGGCAGAGATACAGGCAGAGGGAGAAGCAGGCTCCATGCACCGGGAGCCCGACGTGGGACTCGATCCCAGGTCTCCAGGATCGCGCCCTGGGCCAAAGGCAGGCGCTAAACCGCTGCGCCACCCAGGGATCCCCTTTCAGGGGTTTCTATGGTGGAGGCAACCCTGGCGCCCATCAACGGGGGGACGGGCAAACAAAACACGTCCCCCACGCACGGCCACATCCCTGGGCCGCCGGCAGGAGCGAGGCGCCCACACGCCACGCTGGGGACCGACCCCGAGCCCCCGACGCTCAGGGAGGGAACCAGACGCAGGAGGCCCCACGGGTGTGAGTCCACGTGTGTGACACGTGCAGGACGGGCTCGTCCACGGACGGGGAGGGGGTTCGTGGGGCCCGGGCTGGGGGGCTGGGGTTGTTTGCAGTGATGGAATGTCCTGGAATCACACAGGCGGCGGCTGCAGGTCCGCGAACACGCTCAATGCCGCTGAAACGTTCACTTGAAAATGGTGAATTCCGTGTCACGCGACTCTTTCCTCCATGAATAAGTTTTTCTCCCGATCCAGGGGGAAAGTGGGTGGATTCAAAGCCCCGGGTCGCTGCTGCCCTGCTCCGAGAGCGTCGGGCCCTGGGCCTTGGACCCGCTGCCCTCCCCAAGGGCTCCTCCGCGCGCCCCCTGCCCGGCCCTCCCGGCTTCCTCGACGTCCCCTGATTTTGGTTGGCGTCTCCAGCTGGTCAGGGCAGCGGCCGCCTCCTCCCGGCGGAGCCCTGGACTTTGGAGCCACCCGGGTGGCAGGAGGGGGCCTGAGCAGACACCGTTAAAGGGGCAAAGGTCGTCCTGGGGGCCCCGCAGGCGGGCGCTTGCTTTCCAGCGGGGGCCCTCGGCCTTGGGGAGGACGCGGGGGCCGCTGGGAGCCGCTCAGCGGTGCCCGGGGCGGGGGGGCTGGTGGCGTGACCTTCTGGGGGCCCAGTCGTGCCCTCCCCACGTGGACGCGCCGCCGAGCCAGGTCCCTCCGTCGGGGCTGTGCTGGTGGCCGTGGCGCCGCCTCCCGCCGTCCGTGCGCAGGGGTCTGGGTGGGCTCCAGGCCTGGGTCTGCGTCTCCGTGGGGGCTGCAGGGTGCGCGCCCCCACCGCACCCCACCCCGGCCTGCACCCGACCCGGCCGCCAGGAGATTGCCCGCGGCCCAGACAAAAATGCTCCTCCCGCCGCAAACAAGAATTTCCTGTTTGCCCTCCTGCTCTGGGAGGGTGGGAGGCGGTTATCTGGCCTCGGCCACTACCTGAGCCTTATCTGCGGCCGCTCACATGGGCTAGGGGGCTGCCCCTCGGGGCGCAGCGGGGGGAGGGGGCGGCCGCCCGAGGGGTCAGGTCCTCGCGGGGGCAGGAGGGCGACGGGACACGGGAGCCGGGGCTGCTGGGCAGGGGACACGTTCAGGCTGCCGGGAAAGCCCCTGTGGCTGCTGAGTGTGGTGACCGCGGCCTTGGGGTTGCCCACTCCGTGCCTCAGTTTCCTTTTCTGTGAAGCGGGAGGCGCTGGCTGGGGGAGGAGCGACACACGGTGGGCCCCGCCGTGGCCATGAGCCCCCTGACGCCGTGCATCGTGCCCGAGGGGCAGAGGGGCCTGCAGGGGCGCCCCCCGGGGCCAGGGAGGGACACGACTGCCCCCCCCCCGCTCCTGCAGGAAAGCTGGGGCCTCCCACCCAGGCTCGCACGCCCGATGCCCGTCCTCGAGGTCCTGCGCCCATTCCACGGGTGAGCAGACCGGCGTGGCGGCGGCCGGGTGGACGCAGGGCGGGTCGCGCAGGGTGAGGCGGCCTCCAGCCCCCCGGCCTCGCCCAGAGCGGCTGCGCTTGACGGATTTGGGAAGGCACAAGGGCCCATCCCCGTGGTGCCCCCAGAAACCTAGAGTGAGCTGAGCGCCACTGCTTTTTTTTTTTTCTCAAAGATTTTATTTATTTATTCATGACAGACACGGAGCGAGGCAGAGACACAGGCAGAGGGAGCAGCAGGCTCCACGCAGGGAGCCCGGGTCTCCGGGATCAGCCCTGGGCCGAAGGCGGCGCTAACCCCCGGGGCTACCGGGGCTGCCCATGCTTTTTTTAAGATTTTTTTTGTTTTTTTGGAAATACAGAAAGGGAGAGAGCGAGGGAGAGAGAGAGGGGGGGAGAGAGAGGGGGAGATGCAGACGCCCCGAGGAGCACGGAGCCTGATGCAGGACTCGATCCCAGGACCCCGGGGTCATGACCGAAGCCACAGGCAGATGCTCCACCACTGAGCCCCCAGGCGCCCCGTCCACTCCATTATTAACCACCTGCTGTATGCCCAGTTCTAGACGTTGGGAGCGGAGCACACGGCACCTCTGACGTGCTCCTGTGGATCCTGCGGGTCCTGGGGCTCATGGGGGCCTGTGGGGCGGGCAGGCCGGTGACCAGGCCAGTGTGTCCACCACGCACGTGAGAAATGGCCCGCCGCCCATGCACAGGTTCCACACGAGAGCCGTGAGAGCCACAGGGTGGGCGGGGCCGTGACGCCCGCTGGGTGGGCGCGGCGCTCCAGGTGGGAGGGACACCAGGTCCCCCAGAGATGGGGCCGCGGCGCCCGTCAGTTTCCAGAAGCAGAAAGAGGTCTGGGCAGAGGGTCTGACGGGCACAGGTGGGTGCGGGTGGGCGCGGGTGGGCATGGGGGGCTGGGGGTGCCTGGTGTCATGAGGTCAGGCAGGAGCCGGAGCAAAACCCCGTGACCGTGATAGGAGGACCCCGCACGCAACCCCAGGGAAATCAGGCTGCGGGGTCAGGGAGTGGGGTGGCCCGGGGGTGGGGGGCTTCCGGAGGTTTCTAGGTCGCCAGCCTGGGTTCGTGGCTGAGGCAGGCGACCCGTGTCAGCCTGAGAACTCCGGCCGGATGGAGGCCGGGACGACCTGGAGCCCCCAGGGGCAGGACAGCGGTCCACCGGCCTACGGGGAGTCTGGACGCCGTCCCCCGTGCCCTGGGGCCACTGGCCAGGGCGGGACACCTCCTGCAGGGAAGCGGAACTGGGGGCCGGGGCCCCATAAAGCTGGGGTGGCCTTTACTGCCTGTCTTTGTTGTCGGCTGCCCAGGGCGACAGCCTCCCTGGCCACACGGCCCCCTTTATGGCCTCGGACAATACCCTGCCCCACGGGGCTCTGTCCACCCGCCATTTGGCCGGGGGGTTAATGCCTCTGCCCCGAGCCAGGTGCTCCCGCTGCCGGGTCTCCGTCCTGTGCCTCAGTCTCCCCCTGGAACGTGGGGTTCAGGACACCTCCGGGAGCTCAGGGTGAAGCTGTTGTGTTAATGCGCCGACCCGACCCCGATAGCAGGAAAGCTGGGGCTGGGGCGGGCACTGAGCCCAGGGAAGGTTCTGGAAGGGTGGACCTCCTCCCCGGCCGAGCCCCCCGAGCTGGGATCTCAGGAGAGGTGTTGCCCTGTCAGGGGGGCCTGTGTCCACTGACCCCTGGCGAGTGTCCCGGGGCAGCCGCACGACCACCGCAGGCGGGGGGCGAGGGGGCCGTTCCTGGGGCCGCAGGGAGCATCCTCGTCCCCTGGTCCTCACGTGGGGTCCTCGGTGGTTATGTCTCTTCTCCCACAAGGACATGGGTCATCGGGTGGGGGGGCGCCTGCGAAGACCCCGATTCCAGATAAGGTCTGGGCCCCGGGTCGGGGAGGCGGGCTCCAGGGCACCTGCCGCCTCTGATCCCTCGGCCCAGCCTGGACCCCACTCAAGTCCTGGGGTTCGCCCAATGACCATTTATTAAGCAGCTGCTGGTACTTGACCCCTTCTGGATGCTGGTGACCAACGGCGAGGTCCCTCGCGGCGTCGTGCTGGACGGGTGGGGGTGCGGGTGGGCCGTGTGGGCAGGAGCAGCCCGGCGCAGGGCAGGGGCGGGTGGACGCCCCCGGGAAGGTCCACCTGCAGGCCACACACCCCGAGGCGGGGGCATCGGGGCCTCCCTGACCATAAATCAGCGCAGGAATGCGGCCGGCCAGCCTGGCCGGGGCAGGGCAGGGACAGAGCCCCGACCACCCGGCCGGCCCGCGACCCCGCTTTGTCTCCAGGCCGCGGGTGGGGGGACCCAGAGCCGCCCCAGGGACCCTGCCTCCCAGGGTGTGGGGTCGCGCGGGCGGCAGGAGCCGGGCGTCCGCGTGCTCTTGGGCCCGAACAGCCCGGTGTTTGGTGGTTTCAAGGCCCCCCCTGCTGCCCATCCTCTAGGCTCCTTCCCCAGGGCTTAATTTGAAGGTTGCTGTTTGCTGCTTTTCCCCCCCTGGCCCCGCCCGCCTGCCCCTGGGAGCTGAGGGGCACTGGGTCGTGGGCCCCCCACCCCCAGAGCAGCGACGGGCCAACCCCAGCCGCCGGGCCCAGGGCAGGAGGCCCCACGCACCCCGGCTCTGGGTTTGTGCCCCCCTCTGGGCCTGTGTCCTCACCCACAACACGCAGCCCCCTCCCGGGAGCGGGAGCAAGTGTGTGACTCAGGGGACAGCCCCCGCCGTGCCCGCCGCTTGGCAGTTACCTGCCCGGGCGCTGTTTGTCTCTGCCGAGCCCCCTCCCCCGGGTGGCTCCAGGGACCCGTGAACGAGGCCTCGCTTGGGACAGGGTCTCTGCGGACGCCGCTGGCTGGGAGCTCGCAGGCGGGCGACGGGTCCCGCAGGACGGGAGGAAGCGTGCGAGGCGGGGGCGGACGTCGGCCCCAGTGGGGGAAGCGGGGACACCGCCCCGGAGCCCCCGGGAGCTCGGCCGCACGCAGCCCTCCAGAGCCGCGGGACAAGAAGGCCGCGTTCCCGTGGCCGCGGTGGTGACGCACGCGGGGATCCCCGTCGTTGCGGCAGGTGGTGGTGGGCTCCCCGGGCTCGGCGGGGCCTCAGCGCCCTCGCTGCCTGTGTGTGGCAGCCCTGCCCTGGGGACACGGCGCCCGTACCCCAGCTCTGGTGCTAACTGCCCCGTCCCCCCGACCCCGCAGCTCTACGAACTGGACGGGGACCCCAAGAGGAAGGAGTTCCTGGACGACCTGTTCAGCTTCATGCAGAAGCGAGGTGAGGCCCGCCCACCGGGGTCCCGGTCCCGCGGCAGGAGGGCGGGTCCTTGGGTCCTGGCGGCGTCTGCTGCCCAGGCCCGGCTCCAGGGTCCCGAGGGCCGCGGGCACGGGCCGCCCAGATGGCAGGGGCCGCCCTCGTGGCCTAGAGACTGGAGCTCCCACGGCCGCTGGTGCCACGTGCGGCCCCAGACCCCCTGCGCCCCCCGGGGCCGCGGTCCCCCTCCGGGCGGCTCCCCGACTGTGCTGCCAGCTGGGCTGCGTTTATCAAGTGCCACCTCCGGGGCCCCTCGTGCCCTCCATTCCCCTGGGTCTGGGGGTGTCCTGGCGGGGAAACTGAGGCCCAGAGAGGACACCAGGCAGCCGGGAGGGTCCCCACGGCCTCAGCCTGGGCCCAGGGCTGCTGGGGGGCAGAGGGATGGGGGTTCTAGAGGCACCCACTGTGAGGCGGGGTGGGGGGCTCGACCCTCTGAGCAGAGACGCCCCTCTGGGGGAGTTACTACAGCTCCCTCGGCTCAGGGAAGGAAACTGAGGCCCGGCAAGGGGACCAGTGCTCAGCCCTGGAGGCAGGAAGGGGCGGGGCGGCCGGGGTCCACTTGGGGCCACTGCAGGGGCGGCTGCTTTGTCCAGGGCCCCGCCGCCCCGCCCTCTCCAGCCGCCTCTGTAAACACAGGCCCAGCAGCCGGAAAGGAGGGAGATGGAAGGGGAGGGGCGGCCTCGCATTAACCCCTCCCGCGCCGGAGGGGCCCCGTGGGGGGGCTTATCGCTGGGAGCACTCGCAGCCTGGGCCTGCTGCCACCGGGTGCTCGCAGAGATCCGCCCCCGCCTCTTTATCGCCCATCACACCTGCCAGAGCCCCCGCCCCCACCCCCACCCCGCGGGGACACTGAGCCCCCAGGCCCGGAGCCGACCCCTCCTGCCCTAGATGGGCGGGTGCACTAGGGGTTCAGGGGGTAAGGTGAGCTGGGGGGGGCGGGGGTAGGCACAGCAGCTGGTGACCACTCGGGGCTCTGAGGGTCGGAGGCCAGCCGGGCGGCCCTGGACGGCAGGGAGCACAGACTCCTACACATGCGTCAGAACCCAGCCCCAAGTGCTCCCCTTCCCTTCCTCTCGTTTGGACCCTCGCTGCCTGTAACTGGCGGCCTGGAGGGGGGGCGCTGAACGTCTGTTACATGCCCCCACTCCGACCCCCAGACCCCAGGTCCTGCGCCCCACAAGCCCTCTTCAGTCCAGAGGGTCAGTACATCTTCCCTCACATCACAAAGTAGGGGCCTCCTCGCGTTCGCGTTCGGGGCCTGGAATGCGGGAGGGGTCCCACCGACGCCCCACCCTCCTGCTGTTTCCTTGAAGACCTCCCCACCCTTCCTTATCGCGCCCGCGGCCCCCCGCCCCCCGACCTCCCTCTGCTCCGGCCCTGCTCCTTCTGTAAACATCCGACCAGGCCTGGCCGCAGAGCCAGGGCGCGGGGTCCCCGGAGGATCTGTCCTGATGCAGAACCCGCCCCCGTGCCCCCCCCACCCCCCGTGTCGGGTTCCCCACTCTCCCTCTTGGGCTGACAGACGGGGGTGGGGGTCTGAGGTCCAGCCCCCTCCATCCTCCCAGGTCGTCCTCTGTTAGTGGGGCTTTGAAGCTGGGAAAGGGCAGGAGGTGACACAGACCGTTCACCCTGGGGGAGCAGGTGTCGGGGACCCGGAGGGTGAGGGTTGGGGGCACGGGTGGGGTAGGGTGCGGCCCACTGCCCCACTTGCTAAGCTGTAAGGGGGATGACGGAGCTCTGTCCCCACGGCAAAGTCCCCCGGGGACGCGGGCGAGCGAGCAGTTTGGTGACGTGGGGAGCCGGTGAACAAAGGCTGCTCCGCGCGTCCCCAGGTCGGCAGCCCGTCCCTGGCTCCGTGCCCCCGTGCCCCCGGGTGAGATGAGCACTGAGCAGATCCCGCTCTCTCTGGGGGGCTCCCAGCTGCAGCTCTAACCCCAGGAGGTGCAGGGCGACGTCAGGGACGGCGGTGGTTGTCATGACCACGCAGTCCTGGCATCGGGGGGATGGTGGGGATGCTGCTCAGCCCCCCAGCGCCCAGGACGCCCCGTGTCCCTGAGTCGGGAGAGACCATTCTCTGGACGGGCGTGTCGTCTGTGGACTTGGCATCTGCCACCTGTCGGGTTCCGCACCCCCCCCCCCGGGGCAGCTGGCAGCGCCCTCACTCACCCCCGCGCCCTGCCCCTCCCCTGCAGGGACGCCCGTGAACCGCATCCCCATCATGGCCAAGCAGGTGCTCGACCTGTTCATGCTGTACGTGCTGGTGACGGAGAAGGGCGGCCTGGTGGAGGTCATCAACAAGAAGCTGTGGCGCGAGATCACCAAGGGCCTCAACCTGCCCACGTCCATCACCAGCGCTGCCTTCACCCTGCGGACCCAGTGAGTGCCCGCCCGCGGCCCCGAGGAGGGGAGGCCACTCTGGGCAGGAAGGACAGGGCGGGTGAGGACGAGCCTGGGGAGGAGCACGGGGAGGAGCTCAGGTAGGAGTGTAGGGAGGAGCGTGAGGAGTGCAGGGAGGAGCATAGAGAGCAGCTCGGGGAGGAGCACGGGGAGGAGCACAGGGAAGTGCAGGGAGGAGTGTGGGGAGGAGTATGGGGAGGAGTGCCCCAGGACGTTGGGGGGGCTCAAGGAATGAGGACGGGGATTAGTGAGGCGGCCCTGGCGTTGGGGGTGCGTCCTGGGGCCAGATGCTGAGAGGGGGACACGGGGAGACGGGAGCGGCCGGAGCAGGTCTGAGGCCGCAGGTCTGAGGCCGGGGAACGACGCGGGCGGCACGCGGTGGGCGGCCCGTGGGGGCCCGGAGGCGCCGGTGCCATCCTGCCCCGCCCCGCGCAGGTACATGAAGTACCTGTATCCCTACGAGTGTGAGAAGCGCGGCCTGAGCAACCCCAACGAGCTCCAGGCCGCCATCGACAGCAACCGGCGGGAGGGCCGGCGCCAGAGCTTCGGGGGCTCGCTCTTCGCCTACTCGCCGGGCGGCGCCCACGGCATGCTGTCCTCGCCCAAGCTGCCCGTGCCCTCCCTGGGCCTCGCCGCCAGCACCAACGGCAGCTCCATCACCCCGGCCCCCAAGATCAAGAAAGGTAAGGGTCGGCCGGGCCCTCTGCCCTGGCGGGGACGCGGGACGCCTCCGTCTCTCCGAGTACCTGGGGCGACCCCCGCCGGCGCTGGCTGGGTGGCGGGGCGCTGTGTCCCCCGCAGACGGGACCAGTTAACCCCGCGGGGAGCACACGCGCTAACCCGCGCCTCCCCTGCCCGAGGGGCCGACACGTCCCCGCCCGCGGCACAGGACAGCCGGTTGCTGTGTCCCTCCCTCCGCTCGCCGTGCAGCAGGTGCCGTCACCGCGCAGTGCGGCCCGTCACACTGACCCTTCGCCCTCCGCGACACTAGTGCTCGCCGCCCCCTCCCGAGCCCAGCTCTCCGGGGCGGCCTGAGTATTCAGGGGGACCCCGCGGCCCAGGACTGGTCAGATCGCAGCCTGGCAAGGTCGTCGTAGTGCCCGCTCCTTCGGTGCTCTGGGCCTCGGTTTACCCACCGCACCCCTGGGTTGCTCAGCGATGCCCACGGGTGCTTAGCGGGCGTCCACGGTGTGTGAGGCCCCGCGCTGGAGCTGGGGCGACCGTGGCGGGGGGAGAGAGAGCCGGGTGGCCTTGGAGCCGTGCCGGGCCCACGCGGGTGGGTCCCCCGGGATCCTGAACGGGTGGCATTGGAGTGTGACCGGGACAGGGCGCTTCAGAACCTCCGGCAGGGGGCCCGGCGCGGGTCGGACCCAGGCCCCACGGCCAGACGCACAAGGGGCAGTTGGGGAGGGAAGGCGCAGCGGGTCACGGGTCACAGTGGGCTGTCGGTTTGCAGGGCCGGGAAGGGGTGTGTGGGGCGGGGTCTGGAGCCGGGCTGCCCGGGGCCCCTCACCCGTGCTGTGGGGGTCGGGGACCGGCTCGGCCTTCCTGGGTGGGGGGTGTTGAGTGTGTCACAGGACACGGTGGAGCCCGGATGCTCGGGGTGTCACTGTGTGCGCCCTGTACCGCCACGGGCTCGCCGGGTCACAGTTGCCGCCGTGCTGTGTCCTGAGGCTCCCGGGGTGGCCGCGGTTTCTCACACCCCGGGCCTCACGGGGCTTCGCACGCTGGTGCCGTCCCGGGCGCCCCGCGCACGTCCCCGCCTCGGCTTGCAGGCAGGGCCCTTCTGGCCACCAACTCCTCTTCTCTCCCGTCCAGAGGAGGACGCCGCCATCCCCATCACCGTCCCCGGCCGCCTGCCCGTGTCCCTGGCGGGTCACCCCGTGGTGGCAGCCCAGGCGGCGGCAGTGCAGGCGGCGGCAGCGCAGGCAGCCGTGGCGGCTCAGGCAGCGGCCCTGGAGCAGCTCCGGGAGAAGCTGGAGTCTGGGGAGCCTCCCGAGAAGAAGATGGCCCTGGTGGCGGACGAGCAGCACCGGCTCATGCAGCGTGCACTGCAGCAGAATTTCTTGGCCATGACGGCCCAGCTGCCTATGAGCATTCGCATCAACAGCCAAGGTACCAACCCAGCGCCCAGACCCTCCGTGCCTCCTGCCCGTGTCACGGGTAAGGGCCTCGTAGTCAACCTATGTAAAGAGTGCCTGCAAATCAATAAGAAAAAGAAAGATAAATTGGATAGAAGGAGTGGGCCGCTGTGACCCGTAGTGAATTCACCTGGAAGGCCCAGTCAGGCACCCACGAGCTAGCGAGGGGATAGAGCCTCCCCCCGTCGGAGTTCGGCGATATCGAATCCTGCTCAGGATCTGGGGAAAATGGGCCCCCCCGGGTCCTGCTGGCCAGAGAAACACTAATCTCAGGCCCACAGGTTGTTCTTCCGTGGGTTTCTGGAGCACCCACTGTGCGTGCGCGGGGCGGGCGGCAGAGCGGGTCCCGTGCTGATGGCGCGGTGCCTCTCGTTCCCGCAGCCTGCGACAGCCGCCAGGACCCCGCGGCGAACCTGGGCAGCCCCAACGGCAGCAACAGTATTAGCATGTCGGTGGAGATTAACGGGATCATGTACACAGGTAGGAGCCTCGGGGCCGCGGCCGTGGGCGCTCGGCCCGTCAACGCAGGGCGCCGGGGGGCCCGGGTCCCGCGGGCTCTGCTCCCCGGGCGGCCGGAGAGAGAGTCGCGAGGTGTCGGCGCGTGCAGCGGGGCCCTAAGTTAGGGGCCTTTGTTCCGTTGCGGCCCCAGGGTTCCTTCTAGAACACCGCGGCGCCGCCGCGTGCCGGGCTCAGCGCTCAGGGCGCCCGGTGGTCCTTGCAGCCACGTGACGTGTTTCTCCCCTGTCCTCGCACTAGGAGTGCTGTTCGCTCAGCCACCCGCACCCGCGCCACCCTCAGCTCCCGGCAAAGGCGGCGGCGGCCGCGGAGGCAGCGGCGGGACCTGCAGCAGCGCGGGCAGCCAGGCCGGGCCGGCGGGGCTGTCCACACCCGCCACGTCTTCTACCTCAAATAACTCATTGCCTTAACCGCTCCGCTCCCCACCCGCCCCCGCCGCCCCCGGGGAGCCCGCCGGGCTGGGGGGGCAGGCGGGCCGCAGGGCCGGGGCGGCGGAAGACACGGGTGGGGAGGGCAGGGATCCACAAAGGAGCCACAGCTAACGCCAAAAAGAAAAGAAAAAGAAATATATATATACGTATATATATATATATATAAAGAAAATTTAATAAAACAGGGGAAAACCAAGGAACACTTGAAATTACTCAGGTTCGGACATTGAGAGACGTGGATTGTGAGATCAGCGAAGGAGACCGGAGGAGCGAGGGGCGTGTTTCCGGGGCCGCGGCCCTGCGGGACCAGCTGCCGGGGCCGGGTCCGTGCGGGCCGGTCCCCGTGGAGGCCGATCCTGTTTACCTCATACATCTCTGCACTGTGCGTTTTCATTTTTGTGTTTTCTTTTTTTTTTTTCTTCCATTCATCACACACTCACCACACCCAGCTCCTTGTGTTGAATGAACCCCTGAGCCAAGATCAGCTGAATTTTTTTTTTTTTTTCCTTGTTGCTTTTGGGAACTTTTTTTTTTTTTTATTTTTTATAAGGAACAGTGATACTCAAGATCTATAGGGTTTTTAATAAGAGGTTTCGGGGTTTTGTTTTTGTAAATAATCTATTTTATTCTTGGGGGAAGGAATCAAACCTTAGGGAAAGGATATATATATCTATATATTTGCGTTCATTCAGGGAAACTGGACTTGAAAAAGCAAAAAAAAAAAAAAAAAAAAGCCGAAAAAGAAAATTAAGACCCTTTCTATATTTCCCATGACTGATTTGGGTTCCTTTGTGTGTTTCCTGTGGTGTGGTGGGCGGCTGGCAGGCGCAGGCCGCGCCGGGCCAGAGCCAGGACAGGTGATGAACTCAGGTGCTATGGGCGGGGCCAGGGGCCGGGATGGGGGTGCAGGTGGGGGCACCTGGGGGGTCTCCCTCGCTGTGCTCGTGCGCTGCCCCCCCCCAGACTGGAAGTCTTAACGGGAGAGGAGGGGGCTCCACCCGTCGGCCCCAGGCTCCTGTCTCAGGGATGAATGTGGCCTGGGGACGCTCGAGGTTACCCGTGCGGGGGACGCGGGGGACGGGTGAGCCGGGCTTAGCTCAGGGCCAGGTTTTGGGGCCGCGGCATCCCGAACACCCCCCGCCCCATCGTCTTCTCCTTAACTGTCTCTTCGTTCTCTCTCGGCCCCGCTTGCTTGGGGCCACAGCTACCCGCGGTGACCAAGTGGACACGGCGCCCGCCCCGCTCGACCCTGCGGTCCTGGTTAGAGGTGGGTGTGAGGGGGACACCGCGTGGCGCCCGGGGGGCTCCTGGCGAGGCCGAGGCCCAGGGGCAGGTGCATGCTGCTGCGCTGCCCTCGCGGGTCCCTGCTCCTCGCCGTGCGGGGTCCCCGTGGGGGCTCCGCTGTCCCCGGGGCCAGCCTGCCGGCTCTAATTGGGCCCAGGAGCCCGGCCTCGCTCGGGGGTGGGGGGGGCAGTGCCCGCCTGGCAGCCTCCTTGCCCCCCCACGAGGCCGCCTCCTGTCTCCCGGGAAACCTGTGGGGGGAGGGCCCGGGCCCGCGTCCTTGGGAGGGGGCCCCTCTCTGGAATCTCTCAGATCGTGGGCACCCCCACAGCCCCCTCCCGGGAGTGGGCGGGAAGGAGCGCTGTTTCCTCCCCGCTCTTCCTTCTGGAAGGTTCTGGCCTTCCCTCGCTCACTGCAGCAGCACAATCATTGTGGGGGGGGGTCTCCACACAGCGAAGCCCCCCGGGCCTGCTGCCTTCAGGGCTTCCCGGTGGGGGGGTCTGCAGCACGTTTCTTTCTACCTCAGGTCTGACTCGATGCCAAACCCCCGCCCCGGCCCAGGGCGTCCGTGTGCACCGCCCTGCCCGGGCCCCTCCGCCTGGAGCCGTGCGCCCGCGGGGCCCCGTCGGGGTGTCGCATCCTGGGGGCGCGGGTGTCCCGCCGAGCGGCGATGACTGTAGGGGCGGCCTCGGTGCCCCCCGCAGCCCCTGCGGCTCCGGCCCGGGGTGTAGGGAAGGGGCGGCCTCCGGGGGCCCGTCAGGACCCCCTCCTGCAAACTGGGGGATGGGGTCGGGGCGGCCTGTCCGCCCTTGGCTTGTGCGCTGTTCATTCCCGGGCAGGTGGCGCTTTGCAGCACGGCGAGGGCGGGGACCCCAAACTCAGGGTGAAGAGGAGCCCCCGGGGCTCCCCTGCTGGCGACCTTGCTTCCAGAATCTTCCGCATGACCCCCTGAGCTGGGGGCTGGGCTGTCTGGGGCCGGGCGGCGGGTTAGTTTCCATGGTTCTGCATTTCTACACCACTTTCCCGCTTTTATCACTTTTGCCCACTTTGTCCTCCCCCCTCCACCCCCCTTAATTTTGCTTTTGCATTTTTTTTTTTTCTTGGCAAACATGAACTCAGCCTTTCATTCCTGACATGTGAAATTTCAGTTTCTCTGGGGTTTGTCAGACGGCGTGGGTGCTGCGCCGGGACTCAGGTTAACGTGAAAAAAAACTTTTAAAATAAAAGGTTTAAACGACTCTACCTCTGGCCGGGCCTGGCCTGTCGCGCCCTGGCCACGGCGGGGCAGCCTGTATCGATTTCAGTTTTTGCAGAACATTCAGGTATTAAAAGGGAAAAAACAAAAAAACAACAATAAAAAAAAAAGACAAAAGACCTAAAAAAAAGAAAACCATAAAAAAAAAGGAAGAAAAAAAGGTGTGTGATTTTGAAATTTAAAAGAACACTGAAAGTTTACATTTTATAACATTATTATGCAGATTGTATTTAAACTTCAGAAATATTTAAGACAATTGTAACCCTGTAAAGCTGATGAGATATTAAAACAAAACACTTCTGACAGAAGAGGCGTCCTGTGGTGGATTTTTGGGGTGTGGGTCCAGGTGGCAGTGGGCACAGGGGCTGACCCCCCCACGCCCCGGGGACAGGGGGCGGGTCTGGGGATATCCGAGGGGTCACCCTGCGGGGCTCCTGGCGTGGACGGGTGCGGCTGGGGATGCTGCTCACCCCCCAGACGTGCCCCCGAGTGACCTGGCCGCCCCCAGATGTCAGCGGTGCCCCGGGGACAGGCCCCTGATTACAGGGTGTGTGTGACCATCAGCACCCCTGTGGGGACCGGGTGCAAAGTGTCTATTTTAGGGATGGGGGGGACACAGGTGCCGGGGCCCAGGGTGTCCTAGCCTGTCCCCCAGCCCCTCCACAGAGTTTCCTGCCCTGCCGGGTTCTGATGCCACAGTCACTCCCCAAACCCAAGCCCCAGGGTGTGTGGCTGGGCCCCCCACACCCCCGCTGAGCCTTCCTCGGGGCCTTTGCAGAGCTTCCCACTGCCCGGAACGTCCACGCCCGCCGTCCGGAAAGGCCCTTGTCACCGTGGGCGACACTAAGCCGCACGTGGGCCTCTGCTCTGCAGTCCTGGGCGCCCCCCTCGGGCCCCCGCCATCTCCAGAGTTGGGGACCCAGCCCGCGGCCCCCACCAGCCTTCCCGCGGGGCTCTGGCCTTGTCTCCTCACGATCCCGCAGGTGTAGCAGGTGTACCCCAAGGGAGCCGGGACCCTGGGGCCGGGCGCCCCCCGCTGCAGTCCTCGACCCCTGGGTGCAGCCCACGCCCTGTGTGCATGATTCAGGCCGCTCAAGGGGCGGCTAAGCCACGTGCCCCCGTGGCCCCCCCGTGCCCCCCGCACACTGGGTGTGTGACGGCTCAAGGTCAGCGTGTGCAGCTGTGCAGGCCCGGCCTCCTGCCCCCTGGCTCCCCGGCGCTCCGGCCTGCACCGGCCCGGGCCAGTCCTGCCCGCCTGCCTGCCCGGCCCTGGGGCTGAGCCTAACCCTGCCCCTCCTGTCCTGCTGGGTCGCTCCCGCTGCCGGGGCCCCTGTCACACACACACACACACACACACACACACACACACACGCCTCTCCTGCTCCACGGAATCAGCTGTGGCCCCAGCCTCCCCGGGGCAGGGGTGGGGGGGTGGGGGGTGTCAGAGGAGAGGCAATCCTCCGGCCTCTCAGGGCTTCCCGTCCCCACCCCAAGAGAGAAAAGAAAAATAACTTTGAAAAGGAAAACAAAGCATGTTGTATGTTGTTGGGGCGACTGGGTGGCTCCCCAGGGGGGGTATCTCCCTTCCGCCCAGGTCACGATCTCAAGGTCCTGGGGTGAGCCCCAAGGGCTCGGCGGGGAGCCTGCTTCTCCTCTGCCCCGGCCTCTCCTGCTCATGCGCTCTCGTTCTCAAATAATAAATGAAATCTTTATTTAAAAAAAAAGGAAGCTTACAGAAGAACAAATTGGGCTTTAAAAACAACAACAAAAAAAAACCCCAAAGGGCCATCTCTTGCAAACTGGACCGGCCAGTCCACATCTTCATTCCTCCGCAGAGAGGCCCAGAGAGCGGGCAAGAGGCCCCGAGGTCACACAGCCCCAGGGGCAGCGGGTCAGCTGGGCCCCTCCCTGCCCCCCTGCCCCCCCCCCAGCCTGGAGCTGGTGAGGATGCCCCGGAGGCTGGGGGAAGGGGGAGACACTCAGATCCAGACTGTCAGTGAGGGAGCCTGCAGGGAGCCGGGGTCTGGGTGGGCGGCGGGCCTGGGGGTGGCTCTAATGGGACTCACCCCCCACCCTCATCCCACCCCTCTGCCCGGGCGAGGAGGCGCCCTGGGCCTGCTCTGCTCTCTGGGGTCCACGCAGTCCATGCACTGCCTGCAGAGAGCTGCTCCATACCAAAGAGCAAGCAACAAATGAAGAATGCAGGACTGAGGTGGGGGAGGGGCGCCTCAGTTTCCCCAATCCTGCTTCTGCTGCTACAGCCACACCCGCCCAGCCCGGGATCTGGGACCAGGAGGTCCGGCAACCGGGTGGTCCCAGACTCCCCGGAAGCTCTGCTGTTGTGCTGCTCTCCTGACATAACTGGTCTGCCCTCATTCCACACTCCCCGGCTGGGGGTGGGGTGACCTCTGACCTCCCGGGAGGAGGGGGAGGAGGCCGGGGCTGCACCCGCCCGCACTGCCAGCGCCCGCTGGGCCTCCAGTTTACCCATTTGCACCACTGGTCACCCCGCAACCCCCACCGGCTGGGCTGGCCCCTGCGCCCTGGTCCTGCAACCCAGGAGCTCCGAGGCCTGAGGCCTCCCGGGGGCGGAGGCGCACCCAGCACCCAGCACCCAGCACCCAGGCCACGGCTGCGTGCCAGCACGTGCCCCTGCTGCGTGGGGAACCGAGGCCCAGAGCGCCGGGGACGCTGGCCCTGCAGCCAGAGGTGCTCGGTCAAGTCCTGGGGCGGCGTCTGGACGAAGGCCCAGCCCCGGAGCCGCGCAGCGGGTCAGACCGGGGCGCTGCCCAGACAGGTCCCCGGGATGCCGGCCTCGAAGAGGTGTTTGGGGAACCGAGCCCGGGAAGCGCGGGCGAGCGTCCAGGTGCTGCCCCGCCGCCCGGGGGGGTCAGCGGGTCGGGGCTCTAGGCTCTGCGCATCCTCGGGGCATCCTCGGGGCACAGGGTCGGGACCGGGCGGCTGCGGGGACCTGCACGCCGGGCTCCCCCAGGATGAAATCAAATCCGGGCTCCTGCATGGGCTGCGCGGCCCCATCCTCCACGCCCGCCGCCCGGGAGGCCCCGTCGCTGACACCCCCGCCCCCCTGCAAGGCGGGCCCGGGGACCCCCCTCCCCCCTCCCCGCGGCTGCCGAGGCCTTCCGGGTCCGCCTCCGGGTCGGAGGCTCGCGCCCGCCACCTGCCGGCCGGGGCTGGGGGCGTGGCCAGACTGGGGGCGTGGCCAGACTGGGGGGCGGGGCCGGGCCCGCTCTCCGACCTCCGCCGGGCCAGGCCGCTGCTGCAGCCCCGCCCCGCGCCGGGACCCCGCCCTCCGCGTGGATTCTAACTTTCCGAAGGTCCGCAGCTGGCGCCGCTTTGTTCAAAGCCGGGGCCTGGGCTCCTCCGTGCCCCGGGGGCAGGCGCTGCGCCCACCGACCCCGCCCGGGCGGACCGCGCACCCCGCTCCCTGCTCGGGGTGCGCGCGTCGAGGACCGGGGCCCGGATGACCCGGCCCTGGGAAGCGCCGTCCGCAGGAGGCCCTGCGCCCCGCCCCCCACGGCCCACGCGGAGGAGGCCTGCCCTCGAGCCGCCGCCGCGCGCGCACGGACGAGCCCCGGGCGCCCGCGGCCAGCACGTGGCCAGCGCCCCGCCCGCCGCGCAGGCGCCCTGGAGGCGCGGCGTGGGCGGCGCTCTAGCTCGCGGGGCGGGGGCCCGTCTCGCTGGCGTGACGCACTTCCGGGGCGGTGGAGGCGGCAAGATGGCGGCTCCCATGGAGGTGGCCGTGTGTACGGACTCGGCGGCCCAGCTGTGGAGCTGCGTGGTGTGGGAGCTGCATTCGGGCGCCAATCTGCTCACGTACCGCGGCGGGCAGGCCGGACCGCGCGGCCTGGCGCTGCTCAATGGCGAGTACCTGCTGGCGGCGCAGCTGGGCAAGAACTACATCAGCGCCTGGGAGCTGCAGCGCAAGGTGCGGCGGCGCGCGCCCGGGCCCGGCTCCGTGGGAGGGCGCGCGGGGCGCCCGAGGGCCCCGGGGAGGGACGGGGGGGGGGGGCCGGGGCTCCGTTAGGTCGCGCTGCGCACGCGCGGGGCGGGGCGGGGCCCGCCGGGCGGGGGGCGCGAGATTCCATTAAAAGGGCGACTTCCGGGGGCGCCTGGGGTCGTGCCCCGGGTCGGGCTCCCCGGTCAGTGGGGCCTCTGCTGCTCCGTGTCCCTCTCCCCTTCTCTCTCTGGCTCACTCTGTGTCTCAAATAAATAAATAGAGTTTTTTTAAAAAAAAAAAAAAGACTTGGAGGGATCCTGGGGGCTTAGCGGTTTGGCACCTACCTTTGGCCCAGGGCGTGATCCTGGGGTCCCAGGGTCGAGTCCCGCGTGGGGCTCCCTGCATGGAGCCTGCTTCTCCCTCTGCCTGGGTCTCTGCTTCTCTCCCTCTCTCTATCATGAATAAGTAAATAAATCATTTTTAAAAATTAAAAAAAAAAACTTTGAGCTGGTGGGTTGGGGTCGGAGGGTCTCTTGGTGTTGGAAGGTACGTGGAGGCGGGGGAGGCCGCTGGAGACGCTGCCCTTCGCCGCACAGCGGTGGCTTTCCTCCTAGAAACACCCCAGGACGCGGCCCGTGGCCCGTGGGCCGCTCCAGCTCCGCGCTCAGCCCGCCCGCCTGGTGCGCCCAGGGCCGTGGACTCTGCCTTGCACCCCCCTCGCCCAGAGTAGGCTCCGCTCTGCTCCCGTCCCGCACCTGCAGGCCTGGGGCTGGAGCAGATCCCTCCTCGGCCGCCCCGTCCCGCTCCCGTTCCTGGCGCCCTCGGGCTCTCCTCCCCACCGGCCCCCTAGCTCCCTGTTCTGCGGGAGGCTCAGGGCTGCTTATGTCTCTCCAGGACCAGCTCCAGCAGAAGATCATGTGTCCTGGGCCTGTGACCTGTCTGACCACGTCACCCAATGGCCTGTATGTCCTGGCGGGGATCGCGGAGAGCATCTACCTGTGGGAGGTAAGAGAAGGTGTAAAACTAAGGTGGTGGCGTCCGGTCTGCCGGCGCTGGGTTGATTAGGCCGTGTTGTCACCTGTCGTGTTTGGGCGGAGAGACCCGCCTCACCTCCCGCACAGATAGCGCCCGGTTTAGGGACAGAAGGTGGACGCGTAATCATGCCCTGCTTTTCTCGATCTTGTCCATGCTGGTGAAACGATCTTTGTCCTTCCCCCGGCATCCTCAGGGGGTCACAGACACGTAGGGGGGCTTGGTTATTCACTCCTGGGGCTTTGAAACCCCAGTGCAGGATCCTAAGACTAGGAAGCAGTTGCTTTGGTGCAGGGAGGGAAACTGAGGCGGGGGTTC